ATCTTGTCACATTATTACCAACACATAAAGTTACCCGTAAGTATCAGGCACTATATATATACTGCACATGTCCAGCCTCCCAATAAATGAGGGCTAATATCAGGCACTATACTACTACTACACATGTGTCAGGCATATCAAATCAAAAGATGATGAATTAGAAACGAAGCCCTTGTTTAATTCGTGAAATTTGGATTTTGGGGCTATTGTAGCACCTTCGTTTTTATTTGGCAAATAGTGTCTAAATATTGACTAATTAGGCTTAAAACGTTCGTCTCGCAATTTCCCACCAAACTGTACAATTAGTTTTTCTTTTCGTCTACATTTAATGCTCCATGCACGGACCGCAAACATTCGATGTGACAGGTACTGTAGCAACTTTTTAGATTTTGGAGTCCAACTAAACAAGGGCGAAGCAAAGCCTTTTCAATTTCTATCTTTTGTCTCTTAGCTTATGTCTTCCGTCTTCCATCAATGCAGCTGCATCCGCATACATGCAAATCGCTATCATCACGAGATAATTACTCATCAATAATTTAAGGTATACCTCTACCGCTCCAACTGCAAAACCCTATTAGTTAGCACACACACACGTGCCACACAAAATGTGTCGCGTTTGCATTGCACGGACGAGGTGGAAGAACCTGGACATAAATAGTCTCATAAATTTGATCCCATCTTAGAGCGCGTTTGGCCGGGCTCCCAACGGCTCCGGCTCCTCTGACTCCTCCCATGTTCATCTCCTGTAGCGACACTGTTCACCGGAGCCGTTTTTCTCTCTCCTCCTTTCCTCTCTCACTTACAACGCCGGAGCCGGAGAAGCTTGTTTTTTTTTACTCCTCCGGCTCCAGCTCCTACGTGCTACAGTTACGCTACAGTGTGGGAGCCAGAGCCGGCGGGAGCCCGGCCAAACGCGCCCTTAATTGACAGATCGATCATTGCGTTAAGTAACTGATGATAGGCCGGGTTTGCTAGGTCAGGTAGCCAATTAACACTGATGGGACTCACTAGCCCGTTTGAAATTTAAGAACCGCACACAGGTGCATGCATGGAGCATGAACCATTGGTCCTTGACTCCATGAGCAATGCAATTGCATGGCCATATAGTCTGATCTGACAAGCAAAGCAAACCATGTGAAATCATGGCTAAAAAAAGCTCAGTTGGAGTATACTAAAAAGATGGTAGCTTTGGCATTCAAGGAGTGACGATCTGCTTCGATGACTCAGAATGCCGGCCGGCAATACCAGGTGCTTGATTGATCCCAGGAGCATTTAAAAATATTAAATAATACTATATGCATGGTGGTTCGTTGACTTTGCTTCTTATAAAGAAGAGATCAAGCAGGGGAATGAAAAAATAAAATAGTTGTGTCCCATGCTGAAATCACATTTGTTAATTAAAGCAGGAATGGAACACCCAACTGAAAACATGGAAAAGAGGATCCATGAAAAACAGTACACAGCTCTTCAGGTTTCAGCGCTCTCAACAACCGGCCAAATCTGAAACCAGTTCTTAAGTCTTAACCCTGTTGTTCCTTTCCAGGAAAGATCAGAAAAAGCTGGTATCCGTGCACAATGATCTACGTACAGTCTAGTAGATATCTAATCCTGTCAGCAAAAATAAAATTTGTATTGCCAGGAAAGTGAAGGAGGCAAACTAGTATTCTGCTCGTTTTTTTTATCGTACCTGTATCACTAGCCGTATGTCTCAGCACCAAGTAGATGAATTGCTGTTGTACGGTGGGCGCAGTTTCTTTTCTTGTTAGACTACAAGTTAACACTGTTTCTGACCTACAACAGAGAACCAGCTGACTGAGATGATGTCATCATGCAATGGGAGGGAGGTTATATTACTCTAGCTGAGGAACCCCAGCGCCTTTCTCATGTTCAATTCAATTCCCCAATTAGAGGCAGGACAAGCACTACATAAAAAAAAAAAGAAGCATTAGGGGAAAAAATTCAGGTGCATTTGTCGTCTTCTATGCTCCAGTCAGAATGGCTCCTCGTGCTTACCTGCTGGTTGTTGGAGCACTGTAGATCTTGATCAGCATGGGAGGAAGCTTCCACTCCATCAAGGTTCACTCAAGAGCCAGTTGGTCCTAGTTTAGCAGGCAGCAGCGAGGCAATGAAGAACCATTCCAGCACATGATCCCGTCCTACCTTGTATATAAAACTTAATTCAGTTGAATCAAGACCGGCAAAACTAGATTTGCTGCAACTAATACTAACTCGAATGCTTTAGAACTTCAAATTCGTTGTGTAAAGAACCAGGTCTCCTGATCTTCAACAATTTTCAGAACCTGCTATACGAGGTATGATGACATGGATGGATGAAGTACGGATAAGGGGGCAGCAGGTTTTTTATGATTTCAAATGAATTATTTATGGTCTTTTTAGAGATTTAATCATAGTTTTAGAAAAATACATAATATAGGCAAAACCACCTTCAAAAGCAGCCGAGGGTCGAAGTGCCTGATTTCGATAGTTCAATGGCCTGAGATATCTGGTTTTAGAGTTTGATGGCAAAAAATAGGCTTCTTCCAAAAAACAAAGGGTTAAGTGTTGGTTCAGACTGACAACTGGATAAACAATGTGTGGAGGGATCAGAGAATCATGCTCATGGTCCCCTGACGTGTGAAATGTATGATGAGCAAAAAACATAGTACGGTCGGGCACACGCCAGTGCCAACGACTACCGAGATCTCACACTCCAATGGAACGCAGTGGAAAGTTTGTGACTTTATTACCTATACAGAATTCAGTACGAAAGCAAATGGATTCACCTCCCAATGATTGAGAGATTGACTAATGACGGATTCTAAACGAAGCAAAAGCTTGCTCCCCTGTCACATGGCTAGTGTCTCCATTTTTTGTTCATAGGCTTAGAACACATTTTTGTTAGGTACCAACTAACAGCTCTTAAATTGCAACGTCCAAAAACTATATGGCGAATAAAAAATTCACATGGAATGAAACCTTAATCTCATAATTTTGCCCCCTTCTTGCCGGTCCATCATATTTATTACCAGACAGGGCTTATCAGCCAGCCAACAGTGTTTTCCTCTCACAACAAACCAGCACCAGCCGGGCTTATCAGCCTAGAAACCAACCAGCGAACAAGCCGAGAGTATGCTGGGACTCACCTACTGCTGATGCAGGATCTGCAGTCTGCACAAGGTCCTGGTCCATTGGTTCATGAATCATAAGCCAATCAGATCTGAGAAATGAGAATGTCAAATATAGTTTAACAAATCAACATATACTAAATTGAATTATGGAGCAAAGTGCAGATATGAAAATGTGATACATGCATTGGCTAAACCAGTCACTGATCCCAAATCATTATAAATTCAGTGCATGGTCCGTTGACTTTGTTTTCAGATTCCAGAAATGTTGGTAGGGCAGAGTGGCTAAATGAGATGCACCTCAAAACATAAGGCAGGATCTGTGAGAACAATAGACAACCATTCTGTAACCTTTTAGGTTTTAACAACAGGCAGAAACAGAAATAAATGGAATGCTTCGAATTAGTTTCTTCCTTCTTATGGCAACTCAGATAATGTGGATCTTCTTGCATAAGGGTAGGGACCGCGTAATGTAATCCAGTTAGTAGGCACAATTCTTTTTTGTTAATAGTGTGAGAAACAAATATTATGCTGCATTTCAACTATATGTGTATGATAGAATGGCAGGATGAACTATGTACATGAGGCATATTTCCTTTCTTTGTTCCTGTTGAACTAGAAAAATTTGACAATAAATGGTTTATAAATGCATAGATTGACAAAAGAGGCCACTCTATCATCAACCTACTATTGGGTGGGGGAGAAGATATATTACTCCTAAGTCCTAACTGACAGCAGCAAGGCAGTTGAGGAGATGGTACATAGACTTCTTTAGTCTTACCAAACGAAAAGGTAGAGAAAAATCAACATGCATGCAAATTCAGATATCCAAATAGAAGTGCTATGCTCTCACTAGGAAGTAACAGGTACTAGCTCCCAACTGGAAATGATGAGCTTCCCTACCTCTGTAAGTTGAAACAATCTTCTGATCAGCATGAGAAGTCTCCACTAAATCATAAATCATGAGCCCACTTGGTCCTAAGCTTAGCAATCCTTTTACGGTAACATGATTGTACAGTGCTCAATGTATTATTCTGTCCCTACATTGTTCCCACAAAGTATTGGCGTACATACAAAGGATTACAGATCAGTTGCCTGTGGCACACAAGGACCCTATCTTAGAAAGTTTTCAATAGCTGTAGATCAGTACAAAGTATAGGACCTATGGAGTTTATCTAATAGCTCAGTCTCCTAGAGCACACAATGGTCCCAACTTATACAATTTTCAGCACCTGTAATAAGTAGGACCTATCCAACAAATCTGATGTCTTTTTGTGCCTACATCCTACCCAACAAAAGAACAGATATGATAACCTATTTGCAGGAAAGCAAATGATTTGAACCAGATAACTTGTCCAGAGAGTGGAAAAAAATGTGCAGATTACTGAGAGAGTGATTTAACTTACAAAATACTGACACGTAGAAGTAGAAACTTGTTCCTGTGTGCAGCTTCTGCAACCATGAAAATATAGGTCGCCCAAACAATTAAAGTGTTGGAGCCACATGAGCAAGGAGACAAGGTTCCATCTTCCATGAAGTTCATGCAGTTTTCATTCATCCATGTATGTTTTTGTTATTCTATGTGTTGGTCTGAAATGTAGGGTAGTATAGAAGCCTTTGAGTCACATCTACAGTACACACAGAGGTAGTGGTAACAACAAACACAAATTTCACAGCAACACCCTCGATTAAAATTAGTTGATATCATCAGATACTGATGATTGTATACAATCAGATTCTCAAGGATCATCATTTGCCTCACCAGTCTCCACCACTGCAACACTAGAAGTTGAACCTTCAGTGGACTCAAGCTCCATGGTGCCTCGATGTAATAGCGTTCGAAACTGTGCTTTCCGCTTGCTTCTTCTCTCTCTCTCACTTCACTGCAAAATCTTCAGACACCTCCTTGCTTGAGCTTTCACCAATATCTTCTGAACCCAAACCAGAAGCCATCTTTCCATCGGCCTGAATCTCAGACAGCCTCCTATTCCTCGCGGACACCACGAGAGGCCGGGCCCAACAAACAGCAAGAACAATGAGAGCAATGTGCACAGACGAAGACACCCACACGCAGAGTGTCCACTTCATGCCACGTGCCAGGCTCTTTGCCCACGGAAGAGCAGTCTGCACAACAACCTCTGCTCTGTACACCTGGGGCAGCTGCACCGTCGCAGCTCTTGGCTGCAGCAAGACTCTGATGACCCCTGTTCTCCTATGCCGGCCATGGCCTTCTCTGTACTGCAACACCTTGAGACTTGCGGCCTGGGTCTCGCTGCGTATGCCGAGAGTGAGTGGCACGCACAGCAGCGCAGACTGCGCCAGCCGGACAGGAGTGCTCTTGTACCTCAGCATGTATGGCTGTGTAGCCGATGCCATGGTGATTCCACTTACAGAGACCGCCTCTGCTTTTATCTGCAGAACAAGACGAGTTCACCGTGCGATGCACACATCAGCAAACGAGTTTACCGGATCGGAGATTTGGTAACAAGCATGTGCATGTACCTGGAACATGCCAACTTCACGGTTGTGGTAGGAATCAGGAAACAGCAATGCCATGGACACCCTGACGGAGTGACCCGCCGGCAAAACGGCGCCGGCGCCGGCGCCTCGAGCTCCGTCAAGGACCACCGCGGCGCTGGGCTGCGCCTCCGTGTAGTCGAAGAAGAGCTGCTGGCGCACGGTGACCGGGTCCTCGACCCAGTGCCGGACAAGAAGGAAGCCGAGGAGCACGGACACGAGCAGCGCGGCCACAAGTGCAGCGAAGGTGCACGCCGCGGCGAGCAGGCCTCGCGCCGCGCGCCGGAGGCTGGACGCGACCGCTGCAGGGAGGGCGCGCAGCACGCCGACGAGAGCGGCGACGGGGAAGACGAGGCTGAGGATGGCAGACGCGACGAGCTCCCCGAGGAAGGCGAGCAGCCGGATGAGCCAGCCTGCCGGCACGGCAAGGAAGAGGAGGGCGTCGTCGGACTCACCGCCGGCTGTGCTTCTTGGCCGGCCCGTGTAGTGGCCGTCGCCGGAGTAACCGTGCTGCTGGTACCTGGACACCTGGTGCGGCGTTGAGTACTCCATTAGAGGCTTACAGCTGTAGCACCATATGGAACGGAGCATATTAGGCGACGGCTCGAGGTGTTGCAGTAGCCTGTAGAGTGCAGTGCTGCTGGAGGACGAAGGGCTACACGTGGCAGCAGAAAGGACATGTGGCATGCTCATGCTCAACCTGTGAACCTTCCGCCATGCAGATCTTGGCAGCAGCCTTTGTCAGCATTTCTTCTTGTCCCACGAATCCATCGCACTCTCTTCAACTGATAACCACTTGACATTATGCGAATAGATACACTGTATTCATCATTTGCCTGGTGACCCAACCGTCAGTATCTTCAGACTCCCTGTGCATAGCTAAATCTGCACCTCCACAGGGTGCAGAGCGCGCAGCAGGACATGGAGTTCTTTTGCTTTTCCAACTGAACAAATGGATAATATACTTTTTATGTACATAAATATTGTCATATTGAGATCAAGATTATATGTACATCAGTATGAGGTATTTATTTACTCATGAGATGTGTTTCTGAAGGATGCTGCTATACAGAGGTTAATTACCATGTTAGAATTCTCCATCATTTCCCGTTGGCCTTGTAATGGGTATTGACCATCTTCCCAGATGGGCTGTGTAGTTTGTGCATCTGATGATGCCTCTTCCTTTCGGCCCATCTGGGAAATCGATCACACAGATGCTGCCATCATCCAGGTGAAAAGATGACATGTACTCCATTGGCAAATCAAGACACCGGCAGATTAGAGCTAGGTGAATGGCAGGATGACCGACGGCCACAAGAACACGTTCTGATGTATCATCTGTTAATTCATTTAACAGTGCCTTCCATGCATCCTTGGACTGAGCCCATAGTCGCTCCAGTAATTTGTATTCCATGCCGCCCACCCAACCAGACTGAACTATTTCCCCAAAGCTCTGAAGAACAAAAACAAAGAGTTGTCGATTACTCATCAAATGAATAAAATGTTGTTAAAAATTTCCGTAGGACAGGCTCATTTTATACATAGGAGAGTTCATGGAGATGTAAATGCAAGTTTAAGGACAGTGTTATCTTCGTATAATCTAGTCGCTACTAAAAATAAGTGACACTAAGCAGAAATCATAGGAATTGGCAACGGTTTAACCTTCTGCTTTGCTTGAAAGGCATCTTCAATTTCAAGTTCTATCAACTTCTTCATTTCTACGTAACGAGGCACACAATCAGCACCTAAGCAATCTGCAGCCTCTTGGACCTGCAATTGACTCCATAGGATCAGATAAAGCAGGCCGAAAATAAGCATAAGGAAAAAGGAACACAATTTAAAGAACTTCATGTTTAATTCAGATTACGGTCACCTCACATATAACAGTTGCAGTATCAACAGCTGCAACTTGCGGGCTACAGATAATGCTGTTGACCTTCAAATCCAGAAGTAGTTCTGCAGTCTTCTGAGACTGAAAGTATTTGTACAGAAATGAGCTCAACTTCTGTGTTGGAAACAAATTATGATGCAAGAAACAAAACAAAGTACCTGTATAGTCCCAAGCATGTTCAGCGGCGCATATCCCATTCCACCTAAACTAATCTGGAAACCAAAGCAATGAACAATTAATGGCGTAGATTAGGGAATAGGGATGCATGGTTTCTTAGTTTCATGCCAATTAAGACCAAGTTGGACCAGTGTGCACAACTTTCTGAAGGCAATTTCAGGAATTACAATATGGTATGCCAAACAAAGAGTCAGTGCTTCCTCATGACAGAACACAAGAATGAACAAGTAAAACCCCATACCTCAGAACTGCTTTGTGTAGCCCCTTGACACGCCAGAATGATCCTCTTGCTTGTCTTTCTTTCCGCAGAACTCCCCCCAGCAACAGGAGAATTTGGGGTCTGTACATACAATTGGGGACAGGATTAATCCACGTTTTAATTGTTTGACCCTTCCGTTTTCCTGTATTGTCTTGTGAATTTCTTTGATCTCTAAGTTGATACGAAGTGGAAATGCTAACAGAACTGGTAAATAGTACATGTCGCTCCTTACAAGAATATTATCTTTTTGAACGAAAAATTAATAATAGAATCATGTAAATGGTTCTTGTACTACTTAGTCCTTACTCCTTACATGTTCTGTTAGCGTTGCTAAGAATATCTCACATATACAGTGATGAGAACAAAGTTACCCTCACCTGATTTAGACGGTTAAGACAAACACTAGGAGGGCCTCCACTTGTCTGTGGGGTGAAGTCCAGCACACTGGCGCCGCAATTGCTCTGGAGCAAAATCCGAAAGTACTCTGCTCCAAGTCCTAAACATAATCGTGAGGTAAGCACAAATCAGTTTCAATCACACTTGACATAACAAACTCCGATCCACGCTCAAATGTAGGAGTACCCACCCAAAGAAGTGGCAACAAGTGCCTGATTCACTGCATTGTGCGCAACCACAAGCACCGACTTGCCCTGGTGTGCTAAAATCCTCTCCCAGCAGCTCTGTGCACGGCCCCACAGCTCCTGCACCGGGTAGTGGCCGTCAATGCTGAAGTTGGCTGCATTCTTTTGCCACTGCCGGTAGAGAACCCCGTACCTCTCCTTCCCTTCATGCTTCAGCAGTCCCTGGAAACCAGAATCGCCAGCGCGTTACTTTAAGGCATTTCCACAAGCACCTGGCAAGCATCCATCAAGGAATTAACGAGCGGACAGAATTGGGCAGGCATTCCCAAAAGCACCCTGCTAGCACTGCACAGAATACACAGTAACGGGGGAGCAAAAGAGAGTAAAATGGAAACCTGAAAAGAGTAGAGATCGATCTCGCGGAGGTCGGAATCCGGGATGAGATCATCGTCACGCCCCTGCCAGATGATCTCGGCGGTGCGGCGGGAGCGCGCCAGCGGGCTGGTGAAGCAGGCGTCGAAGGAGTCGGAGAGGAGCATCTGGCGGGAGGTCTCGGCCTGGGACTCCCCTTGGGCGTGAGCACGGAGAGGTCGGAGCTCCCCTGGATGCGGCCCTCCGCGTTCCACGTGCTCTGCCCGTGCCGCACCAGCACCACCCGCTTGGCCTCCCGCAGCGACGCGCCCGGGCGCGGCGCGGGCTCGGGGACCTCTCCAGCTTGTGCACGCTCGAGCAGCAGATGCATGCGGAGGTGGAGGGTCGGCGCCTACGCCGGGCAGCGGCCGCCGGCGACGGCCGCGCGGGTGGGGCGAGCTGGAGCATGGCTACTCGTGGGTGGCGGTCGTGTTGTGTGAGGACTGTGGAACGTGTGGTTTGCGACACCTGCTTCCCGACAAGATTTTGGTCCTGATCGTGCAATCAGGGATTATGATGGGCTGCACGTGCATGGGCTGATTTGGGCCAGGCTTGGAACCTGGCCCAACTTTGTTGAACTTGTCCAGCCTGTTTTTTTTTTTAAGAAAAATTGACTTGGCTTACAATTTTTGGAAGAAAAAATCAATCAACTTGTAGACTTTACCTCCTCCATGACATGGTTTGGCTCAGCTTTAATGGTAGAGAAGATCACCGAAGTGCCGAACCCAGAACCTTAAGATGATACTAAAACACTTTACGCCATGTTCTTCGGCATTACTTCAGCAGTATTTTTCGACGAACGAACATTATTTTCCTCTCACAGCAAATAAACATAAGCCAAATTTCAACGAAACAAACATGGCTTAATCTGGCTATAGGCTCTTTTGCGGCCATAAGGCTCGAGGCCTATGGGCACGACCCACGGCCCGATGGCCGTCGGGACCGCGTCGGCCCAACTCGATCGGTGGGCCATGCATGAGCCGCTACATCGTCACAGCGTGCTAGCCAGGCATAACCTGATTACTGGCCAGCCCGATATGGCCCGCCAATACATAACTGCACATTCCAAATCCTAGCTCCCTTCTCTCAATCGCCTCCGCGTGATTCTTCGCACCACCGCCGCCCATTTATCACTGATGATGCATCGCCTCCCTACTCTTCTCCCCTCCCCCGACCCCGATCCCGCGTTAGCTCCCCGCTCCTCTCCCCTTCCCCTCCCCCACTCCTACATTGGCTCCCAGACTCCTCTTCCCTTCCCCAACCCCGCTCTTCTCCCCTCCCCTGATCCCACACGTCGGCTCCCCCGACCCTCTCCCCTCCCACATCCCATTCCAACGCTGCCTAATGCTCCCCCAACTAGCGAGGAGCTCGCGTCCCCTGATGCTTCTCCTCTAACTAATCGAGCAACTATAGGAGCCCTTGCCACGACCTCTCCCTTCTCCCTAATTCTCTCCTCCAACGGCGCTTTCGATACAGGCCCGCCAGTGCGACCGAGGCACAACTCCAGCTCGGCAGGCTCATCGGGCGAGCGGTGCTTGGGACGAAGGCAGAGCCCGTGGACATGCATGACACAGCACAATTTGCTTACAGGGCCATGACGGCTCAACTCTTATTGGGTCGTGCCTCAATGGGCTCGGGCCAGGCCATCCATTTGAGCATCTATACTTTTGCATATTTTTTAGAACAAGTTGTGAAAATAGATTAAAAAGATAATGATCTAAAGGAGCCACCATACGTGTAACGTGTGATGTCGGATTGTCTGTTAATCTGTTTACATAGAAGAAGCGAGCATCGCTCGATCTCGCTCGCATAACTGGAATAATTGTGTTAACGATGTGATATGAACTCTGTTGTTATACTTATACGTATGATGGATCAGGTCAGGGCGTCGATCCAAAAAAAAGTGTCTCTCTCTCTATATATAATATATGTATATGAGCATTTCCCTGCCGACTCCTCTTTTGTCAAAAAAGAGAAATTTTCCCTGCCGACTGCTATAGAGCTATAGTCCTATCTAGGATAGTGATAGTACGTTGCAACAAGAGCCCGTGAACGCGAGGGCAGAAAACGCCAGAAACCAGGGCATGAAACGATATAGGCCGCAGAATGCAGAGGCAGAGATAAACAAGGCTCAGAACCTCCCAGAAAACATCTCCGTCGTCCCATTAGTCTACGCGTGTCTTTGGCAGTATCAAGGACGACGCAAGGTGGCTACGTTGAGGCCATGCGTTCTATTGCGGCGTTCATACTAGCCTACAACGTTACCATTCTCCTTGTAAGAGGTGAGACATTATTAAAACTGCACCATTCACAAGCAAAATACAGCGAACTTTAATATAAGTTATCTTAAGTCCGATCATCGTAACTCTCACAATATTTTATAGAAACAATGGTAATTTTTGAGAAATGCTAAACAATACTCGGTTATTTTGGAGCAATCCAACACTCGATTTTATGGACGTCCCGATTCAAGCTCTTGCCCTGCGATTAGCTTGGTTAGGGTTTGAGATTGAGTGGCCTTCCTTCTCCAACTCCGGCAGGCTTAGAAGAAAAACCTAGGAGGAAGGCCAGATCGACGGTGGTGGCAGGCGCGGGGGCGGCGAAGCGGTCGCGCCGTTGGTCGGGCGGTGGAGGAAGGCGGTTGGGCAGGGAATGGGCGGGGGAGTCACGGTGATGCCCTAGCGAAGCCGGATTAGCGCGGCGGTGGGGTAGATGCGGATCCGATGGCGGGGAGCCACTGGAGATGAGGCAGGCGGACGGGGCGGCTTCATCCTACTGCTGGAAATAATCGAGCGTTGAACCGCTTAAAACACTCGATTGTGGGGTAGACTTTTATGATATTTAAAATGAACATGATAAGATGCAATTTTTTTTATAATTTATCTATTTGATATCATAAATGCTAATACCCTCTTCTTTAAATTTAGGTGAACTTAATTAAATAGTTCGACATATGACAAAACGAAATTCATTATGTTTCAAGAAGCATTTTTTTGTGAGGTGAATTCAGAAGGTACTACCGGGCATTAAAAGTTGCATATCAGCTAATTATTCATTGTGCGGCGTGTGGATTTACTTATCTATATATACTACTACGACTATATTACCTGCGTAAATTCCTTTCAAGTTGCCGAACGAACAAAGTCCATTCCTGCATTATTCGCCGCGCGCGCATTTGTTTCCAACGAAATCCGACGACGACAACGTGTCTTCTTCGCCTACGTCCATTTACACAAGAAATCGACATCTCCTCTACTGCGTCATGCATAAATACAATACAACGGCGCGCCTCCTAGTGCATTGCACGAGAAGATAGCTATTAGGTACCACAGCTAGCACCGCTGCAATGAACAGCACTTCTTGGTTGCTCCTCCTTGTTTTGGTGCAGCTCTCTTGCTTCCACTGCTACTCCGCCACCCACCACCACCATGGCCGGAAGCACGCTCGCCCAGTACTAACCGCCCCCGCCACCGCTACCGTCGTCGGCTCCGTTGTCATCGTCCACTCCAGCAGCTCCGAGGCTGCCACCGCCGTTTCAGGTGCGCATGCAACCTGCTTTCACCGTATGACAATGTTTGAGGCTTAAGCCTGCCTGCCTGCCTGCTTCTCTAACACGTAGTACGGGCCTACGGCTTCAAGCAGGCACCCTGGTCGGAGTCCGCTGCCACGACGGGAACGGCCGGCCGGTCATCCGGAAGGACGTCGTCACCGACCGGAGCGGCAAATTCCACGTCCACCTCGCGCAGCACGAGCCCATCAGCAGCAGCCAGAAGCTCCGGTCCATCACGTCCTGCTCGGTGGCGGTGCACCTCCCTCAGGCGCCGCCATGCGTCGCCACCGCCACCAGCTCCGCTCGCGGGCTCCATCTCATCGCCCACCACAACCACCACGGCGGCGGCGGCGGCGCTCGCGTCTTCTCCGCCGGCGCGTTCGCCGTCCGTCCGGAGCTCTGCAGCCAGAAGGGCCTGTTCTTCCCGCCGCTCCCGCTCGTACCGGAGCCACCGAACATCGGCGGCGTGCCCATCCCGCCGAACCCGGTCACGCCGGCCCCGCCGTCTCTCGTGCCGCCGCTCCTGCCTGCCCCGCCTCCGCCGTCCGTCCTGCCACCGCTTGTCCCACAGCCACCGCCGTCGTCGATAATACCACCGTTGTTGCCGCCGTTGGTTAACCCGCCGCCACCGCCGCCGCCGCCGAAGCTTCTTCCCCCCGTGCCGGTGCCGCTTCTCCCTCCGGGGTTTCCTGGCGTACCGCCGGCCTCCGCTTCCAAGAACCGCCGCCCGGGGAATCCCTGAGGAAAACATCTAGTTGGAGTTGTGTTGCCCTTTACATTTACACGCACCTACGTACTGCCGTCAACTGTAATTTTCTTGTTCGTCAACCTGAGCTGTATTTACCCTGATTGGTATCATGTTTAGTGCTTAATCTTCTCTCTAGTCAACCTCACCGTAACTTTTCTTTATCACTGACGGGTCGAACGGAGCCCACCATATTCAGATTTAATTTTTTTAATTTTAGCAGAAAAACTAATATTTCAAAAAGCACGTCCCGAACAAAAAATCTATGAACTAGCCCTTTTAGTCGCCCCAGAGGTTGTATCGTGACTCGTGATTTCGATCACATTACTTGCAACGTTGCATAACAAAAGTTTTGTGTATCCAAAAGTCAGAACGACTAAAAATTTACAATGGAGGGAGTACCAAAAAAAAAACTCTTAGCAGTGGAGCCAGAAAAAGCTAGAATGAAGATGCTAGATTAGAAAGAGTTGCTAAACATTCTAAAAATAAATTGGATTTTGTTTTTTATCTTATTGTTTTCTTATGGATATATGGGGTTCTAGAGGCAGCAGCACTGGTCATGTCTCTGCCCTGCTTTCTCTCTCTCTATAGGCATATAGCGCCCAACACATTCAAACAGACAAAAATTCATCCGCGGTTCTCAACATTGTCTTGAGGTATTATCTAGGTCTTCAAAGTCCTCAAATGCATTTATGGCTGTATGAAGTTATAATAGGTCTCATTTAGATCTAAACAGGCGTTTACCTGACCCGCTATCTTACATGACATGTCAATTCAACGCTTACATGGATCAGATAGATAAAATCCACATGTCAGCGACAAAGCTCCACCTT